AAAAAAGAGAGCCACCAGATTCATTTAAAAAGAGGGTAACAGTTCCACTTTCTTAATGATTTGACCAGTAAAGACAAACATACCTCAATTTAAAAACAAGACTTCACTGAAACTAGATCTTGTGTACTTTTAATGTAGCTACATGATTAAGACAAAAGGCCATCGAGGTTCATGCTAATTTTATTGCAATAAGGACAACTGTTAAGCATAGTTATGCAAATCTAGCTAAATACAAATGCTGGCGAAGAATGTGAGCATGAAAAATCATTACCTGAAGAACTAAGTTTTGCGTGGTTGTATTTTTTTTTTGATTAATTCAAGTATTTTTAATTTAAGAATTTTTTTTTAAATTTTTTATTTCTTTTCGGCGTAACAGTATTCATTGTTTTTGCACCGCACCCAGTGCTCCATGCAATCCCTGCCCTCTCTAATACCCACCACCTGGTTCCCCCAACCTCCCACCCCCCGCCCCTTCAAAACCCTCAGGTTATTTTTCAGAGTCCATAGTCTCTCATGGTTCACCTCCCCTTCCAATTTCCCTCAACTCCCTTCTCCTCTCCATCTCCCCTTGTCCTCCATGCTATTTGTTATCCTCCACAAATAAGTGAAACCATATGATAATTGACTCTCTCTGCTTGACTTATTTCACTCAGCATAATCTCTTCCAGTCCCGTCCATGTTGCTACAAAAGTTGGGTATTCATCCTTTCTTTTTTTTTTTTTTTTTTTTGATGCTGTGTTAGTCCCCCAGGACTGTTCTTTTTTTTTTTTTTTAATTTTATTTTTTATAAACATATATATATATATTTTTCCCCCAGGGGTACAGGTCTGTGAATCTCCACGTTTACAAACTTCACAGCACTCACCATAGCACATACCCTACCCAATGTCCATAACCCCCCCCAACCCCCCTCTGCCCAGCAACCCTCAGTTTATTTTGTGAGATTAAGAGTCACTTATGGTTTGTCTCCCTCCCAATCCCAACTTGTTTCATTTACTCTTCTCCTACCACATTAACCCCCCATGTTGCATCTCCTCTCCCTCATATCAGGGAGATCATATGATAGTTGTCTTTCTCTGATTGACTTATTTCGCTAAGCATGATACCCTCTAGTTCCATCCACGTTGTCGCAAATGGCAAGATTTCATTTCTTTTGATGGCTGCATAGTATTCCATTGTATATATATACCACATCTTCTTTATCCATTCATCTTATGATGGACATCTAGGTTCTTTCCATAGTTTGGCTATTGTAGACATTGCTGCTATAAACATTCGGGTGCACGTGCCCCTTCGGATCACTACGTTTGTATCTTTAGGGTAAATACCCAGCAGTGCAATTGCTGGGTCATAGGGTAGTTCTATTTTCAACATTTTGAGGAACCTCCATGCTGTTTTCCAGAGTGGTTGCACCAGCTTACATTCCCACCAACAGTGTAGGAGGGTTCCCCTTTCTCCACATCCTCGCCAGCATCTGTCATTTCCGGACTTGTTAATTTTAGCCATTCTGACTGGTGTGAGGTGGTATCTCATTGTGGTTTTGATTTGTATTTCCCTGATGCCGAGTGATATGGAGCACTTTTTCATGTGTCTGTTGGCCATCTGGATGTCTTCTTTGCAGAAATGTCTGTTCATGTCTTCTGCCCATTTCTTGATTGGATTCTTTGTTCTTTGGGTGTTGAGTTTGCTAAGTTCTTTATAGATTTTGGACACTAGCCCTTTATCTGATATGTCGTTTGCAAATATCTTCTCCCATTCTGTCAGTTGTCTTTTGGTTTTGTGAACTGTTTCCTTTGCTGTGCAAAAGCTTTTGATCTTGATAAAATCCCAATAGTTCATTTTCGTCCTTGCTTCCCTTGCCTTTGGCGATGTTCCTAGGAAGATGTTGCTGCGGCTGAGGTCGAAGAGGTTGCTGCCTGTGTTCTCCTCAAGGATGTTGATGGATTCCTTTCTCACATTGAGGTCCTTCATCCATTTTGAGTCTATTTTGGTGTGTGGTGTAAGGAAATGATCCAATTTCATTTTTCTGCATGTGGCTGTCCAATTTTCCCAACACCATTTATTGAAGAGGCTGTCTTTTTTCCATTGGACATTCTTTCCTGCTTTGTCGAAGATTAGTTGACCATAGAGTTGAGGGTCTATTTCTGGGCTCTCTATTCTGTTCCATTGATCTATGTGTCTGTTTTTGTGCCAGTACCATGCTGTCTTGATGATGACAGCTTTGTAATAGAGCTTGAAGTCCGGAATTGTGATGCCACCAACTCTGGCTTTCTTTTTCAATATTCTTTTGGCTATTCGCGGTCTTTTCTGGTTCCATATAAATTTTAGGATTATTTGTTCCATTTCTTTGAAAAAAATGGATGGTACTTTGCGTGGTTGTATTTTTAACGATTTAAAAAATTTTGTTTTGTTTAAAGAATGGCAACTGACTTTTAACGTGGCCTGAATGGACCTTATCATGTTCAATATTATTAAGATAAGGTGCAGAGGGGTGCCTGGGTGGCTCAGTGGATTAAGCCTCTGCCTTCAGCTCAGGTCATGATCTCAGGGTCCTGGGATCGAGCCCGTTATCAGGCTCTCTGCTCAGCGGGGAGCCTGCTTCCTCCTTTCTCTCTCTGCCTGCCTCTCTGCCTACTTGTGATCTCTGTCAAATAAAGAAATAAAAATCTTAAAAAAAAAAAAAGATAAGGTGCAGATATTTAAAACACTTTGGATTTCTCCGCAAATAAATACCTTAAAATTTATAGACAATCTAAATTCTTTGACCTAAGAACTAAAGAGACAGTAAGCAATTAGTAGGCATTTAAGCCTGGATAGATCAGAAACCAGGTTCTGGATGGGCCAAGAAAAGATCCATTTCATCTCCAGAGTACAGGATAGGTTCAGCCAACAGAATGTTGAAACCATTCACAAACTCTTTGGGACCTTCACTGAATGAAGATGCTGCTGTGTGCTTCAGGGACAGTAACAGCAGTAAAATATACTGAAGTGATAGAGAAGGAACAGACTTTACAACAATATCGGAGATGAAGCTCCTTTTTTTTTTTTTCCCCATTCCCCTTAACCATCTTAAAATGACAACTAAATTACTACCACTTTTACCTTAAAAAGTGGGCTTCCTGATAAATCCATGTGTTAGACCAGTTTATATTTTTTTATTTATTAAAATAGTCTTGGTTACATTTATATTTACTCAGCATTTAAGGTGGTATTTGACAGCTAGGCTAATAACTGTCAAATTTTACATTAAATCCTGTAATGCTTCAAACATTCCCCCCCCAAAATATCACCTTTTAATTTAATTAAAATTACATATCTCATATTAAGTCTAATTCTGAAGTTTTAAATGGGAAAAAAAATTATACATATGGTAACTTGCCTAAAGCTTTTGGTACAAACCTTTTCAAGAAAAATCTCTTTCTTGAAAACTAAGACTGTCTTTTAGGTCAGGTTCTCCCTGTGACCAAAAAACCCATGCATGCACACTTTTCTTAACTCTCCTATTTGCTTTCATACCTGCAGAACATGGCTTTTAATTTTTCTAACAAATTTTGAGTTCTTTTTATGTATTTCTAAATAATACTGTAAACACTTTCATTTAAATGCCCTAAGGCCGGACAATATATCTTACATACATATAGCATTTCTATTTAGATGTTTTACAGACTAATTATTTGTAATTGCTTCCCATATTCCAAAATAAAACCAAAACATAGGGTTTTTGCTTTCAGAAAATTAGTATTATAATTACTGTACTATAAAGCTATTTTATGACACAGTTAAGGATCAGCTTTTTAAGTGGTTCATCCACTCACCTTCCCTACCTTATTCCAAATGCATCAGGTATGAATCATACGTTAAGTAACACCCTCCTGAACTTTGTCAAGGAAATCCATGCAAAATACAGATTAAGATATAGTTATAAAGAAAGACTAAATTTCACAACGGCAAACCAAAAAGTAAACTGTATCAGGCCAAGCTTCCTTCCAAATTCTGATTTTAAAGACTTCTCCAAACAGCAGGTGAACAGAGATTTCAATGACTATCAAAGAACACTCCAGAAGAGGGTAAAAATGTGTTCGCTTTCTTCCTTGGGAGTGCATCACAGTGACCTGGAGAAGCTACTCTAGGATGAAATGGGGTTTGAAACAGAATGCTTCAAAACATCAATGGCAGAGCATTAACTAATGTACAAACAGGCAATTCAGTCCTCCCAGCCCACTTTCCTATTTTAGTCCTACCAAATGAGTCATGTAACTAGCCAACTGCTATCAAGAAGTCCCTGTTGTTCTGTCCCCAAGTCAGTGAACGGAAGGCATTTCTCCTTTATTATATCTTCAAAAGGTGAAATCTAAGAATTTCTAGGGGGTCTTATGTGTATGTGTCAGTTTGGGTCTCCTTTGTGCCTGTTACTTACAAATTTACCAAGTAGCTATCCAATAAATATTGCTTAAGGGGGGAGGGGAAGGGAGGGGGGACGACTAGGCTTTTTGGTGACAATAATTCTCTCAACTAAAGGACCCTCCCCAAATAATTATGCATTCACTGAGCGCTTGTGTAACTTGAAGTTGAGAGTAAATTTAGGGGGGAAATATCGAGGATAGCGGGAGTTATTCCAATGCAAAGTGCAAGGAACGCCGAAAACGCTCCATACCTTGAAGTGAATGTCTAGAGGGTGAGAAGATTGCGAGCACCAAACCAAACAAAACAAAACAAAAAAACCAAAAAACAAAAACAACAACAACAACAACAACAAAACAAAAACCCAGAACCCTGACCTTGCCGGCAAGTCGAACAGTTCTGCACCCCTCCCCCTAGCTTCCCCGGGAGCCGGTTCACGCTATCCCAATTGGTCAGCCGGCCTGTATCAGCACCTGCCTGGCAGTGACAAGCGAATCTCCACGGAAGACAAGAGGCTCTGAAAAGGAAGCGGCCTCGGAAACGCTTTGAGGCCCAGGAGGAAAGGATTCCAAGCGGAAAAGGAGGAGAGGACCTTCGGAGGGATGAGGCCGGCGGTCAGAGACTCGTGGGGACAAGGCTGGCGAGGACGACTGGGGGTCAGGAGCGGGAGGTGTTAGGAGGGCCCGGGTGAGCCGAGAGGTTGAGGGCCGCCTGCGGGCCGCGGGAAGGGGAGCGCTAAGGGGCTGGGAGGCCCGAGCGCGCGGAGAGGGGCGAGCAGGCCCGTGGCGGCTGGGGCTGCGAGGGCCCCGGCGAGCGGACTCACGTTCTCCCACCAGCAGGATCCGCACGTCTTTCTTCATGTCGGCGGCTCGCAGGGGCCGGTCTCGGCCCGCACGCATGGAGCGGACACCTCTCGCCGGGAGCGCCCACCCCGCGGCGCCGCTCTCCCAGCGCTGCGGGTACCGCCTGCCAGCCTCCCCCGCCGCCCCGCCCGATCGTCGGCTGGGGCCCGCCGAGCCGCCTCCTCGGCTGCTTCCCCGCTCGGGAGCCGGGACAGCTCCAGCTCCGCCTCCTCCGGCTCCGCGGGCGGCGGGGCCGACGGGGCGCCGCGAGGGACAAGCGCTTTCCGAACGCGAACGCTCTCTGGGCCTGAGCGGCGCCCCCCCCGCGTCCCGCCAGCCGCAGCGCGGGGCGGGGGCGCCTCGCCCACCCTTCTCCCAGCCGCGGGGTAGGGGGGCCGCGGATACCGCCGGGGACTGGGAATTTGAACGGCAGATCCGCTAGTCTGACCCCATTTATTTTGCAGAATTGGGGCCGGAGAAGGTACTTGTCCAAGGTCACATAGCTAGAGCCTGGCAGTGACTCAGGACGGGAATATTCTCACCGGACTATAATCTCCGGGAGGGCAGCGACTTGCCTACCAGGTTTTCAGTAGCGTCATAGGACATAGCCCTCAGAAAATGCTTCATTGATGAAAGGGTGACCGGCTCCCGGAATAGAGCCTTTTTCACTACCCATAAACCACCACCCTGGTTCCTTTTTGTCTGTGATGCTTACAAAATACAGTTTTAAACAATGACATTCTTCTTTACCTTGTCCTTGTAAAAAGATTCATTTCTTTGTAGCAAACTAAATGACTTTCCTCTGCGCTAAGCCAAATTTAGTTTCTAAACCAAACTAAGCCACTTTCTGTCGTTTCCTTGGAGCAAGGTTTTCTGATAATTATCTTCAGTTAGGCTTGCTGAACGTAATGCTAGACACATAGGTGACACTGGCTTAGAAACTATTACTGACTTTTCTAATGTTGCCTTACTTCCTCCTGGCCCTCTCCATCTGGAGGAATTTGTCGCTACATCCCAACTGTTACAACAGCGCTTGGCACACAGTGGGAGAGATAGATAGAAAAAAAGGAAGGAAGAAAGAAAGAATTAATGAGGAAATACTCTTTGCATAATGTGCCTTTTTTTTCTATCTTAAATATTACAAAGTAAGTTTCTAGAGGGAAATAAAGTGTGCAAAATACAATCCCCTTTTCTCCTAGGAGGAGCCATGGGGTGTTGGCATAGCGGTTAAGAGCTGCTGACGTGCTCCAGGGGATTGAATCCAGACTCCATTACCTAATTAGGTATGGGATCCCGAGTAAGTGCTTTTACCTCTCTAACCTGTCCACTCTGTAATGTGACAATAATGATAACAATACTTACCTCATCAGGTGGTTTTGAAGAATAAGTAACATAATACATGTCAAACATTTGGTAAAGTGTGAGGCTCCAAGGCTCCTTACTTGGTCTGTTGATCTCAGCTACTATTGTTAGAGTGAAGGGCGCTGGGAAGTTATAAGCCACAGGTTTTGAGGCAAATACATTGTTACACTTCCACCAGAGTATTTTGCCTCTTAGTATAATGATGTCCCTAAGGAGTGTAGGAGAAGGAAGCCCTTCCAAAAAATACTCTGTAATATAAGGAGGGAAATAGGAGAGATACACTCCCTGCTTGCTGGGAGATAATGAAGTCGTATTCTGGGATGGATGCAAATAAGATGGATGGAAATGTGAAATTCGGGAGTCTTGATAATCAGATCTTGCAGGGAAAAGGATTCCACGAGCACCTATTCCAATCTCATTACTCTATAGGTACAAGCAGGACCAGAGAGATACCCTGACTTGCCAATGGCAGGACAGCTGACACTGAGCTCAGGCTCTGCCATCCTTTGTGTGTGACTCTGGGCAAATCACATCACCTGTTGCCTCAGTTTCCTCTCTACCAAATGAAGACTATCATCTCTTCCCAGCCTCTGACCTTATGGAATTGTTTGGAGGAGCCCATGAAAGGATATATGTGGAAAAAACTTTTTTTTTTAAAGATTTTATTTATTTATTCGACAGACAGAGATCACAAGTAGGCAGAGAGGCAGGCAGAGAGAGAGGGGGAAACAGATTCCCTGCTGAGCAGAGAACCCAGTGCGGGGCTCAATCCCAGAACCCTGGGATCATGACCTGAGGCGAAGGCAGAGGCTTTAACCGAGTGAGCCACCCAGGCGCCCTGGAAAAAACTTTCTCTTAAAAAAATAAGTGACACTCGGGCGCCTGAGTGGCTTAGTCAGTTAAGTGGCTGCCTTCAGCGCAGGTCATGATCCCAGGGCCGGGGATTGAGCCCCGCACTGGGCTCCCTGCTCGGCGGAGAGCCTGCTTCTCCCTCTCCTCTGCCTGCCTGTGCTCTCTATCTCTCTGTCAGATAAATAAATAAAATCTTTTTAAAAAAGTGACAAAAATATTAAACTACAAAGGACAAAGGCCCCTTACAGAGGGGTGAATTCTTTAGGGCACTGCCTGTTCCTAGCCACCCTTTGTGGGGGCTCTTGATCCCAGGAGTATAGCAACAGCATTGCCGGCTGAGGACAGTGTTAATTCTGAGGGACTTCTCCAGAAGCATAAGAAGAGACAAGGCCTTCATAGTGTTGTATATATGTGCTGGGCAACAGCTTTGGCATTTCTATTAACTGAAATGTCTGGAAGGCAGGAGACTAAGAAGAGTTTATCTGGCAGGGAACATCACAGAGTTAATACTGGGAACTCCTTTGTAAATAAAACCTACTTAAGAAACCCAGACTCGGGGGTGCCTGGGTGGCTCAGTCCATTGAGCATCTGCCTTTGGCTTGATTCATAATCCCAGGGTCCTGGTCAGGCTCCCTGCTCAGTAGGGAGCCTGCTTTTCCCCTCTCCCTCTGCCACCCCCCCCCCGCTTGGGCTCTTGCGCTCTCGCCAACAAATAAAAAAATATAATCTTAAAGAAAAAAAAAAATCCAGACTCAAGGGGCGCCTGGGTGGTTCAGTGGGTTAAAGCCTCTGCCTTTGGCTCAGGTCATGATCCTGGGGTCCTGGGATCGAGCCCCGCATCGGGCTCTCTGCTCAGCAGGGAGTATGTTTCCCCCTCTCTCTCTGCCTGCCTCTCTGCCTACTTGTGATCTCTGTCTCTCTCTCTGTCAAATAAATAAATAAAATCTAAACAAACAAACAAACAAACAACAACAACAAAAATCCAGGCGCAAGAGCTGCAGAATAGAGAGAACGAAGAACCACTTTCAGTAGGCAACAACTAATTGTTAGTACAAACAGACAACAGCACTCATTAAAGTGGGGGAGAGGGTGTCTGGGCCTCCTGGGCTATGTAGGTTTCTTTTTAAATCCCCTCTCCATCTCCCGATCAGCTACACTTCTGGAGTTTTGGCTGCCCTTCACTCCCTTGATATGCTCTTCTCAAGATATTAACAGGCATCCATCAGGGATCACTGTGAAGTCCTCCTAGAGACAGAATAGTTCAGGGTTTAAGAGCTGGGACTCTGGAGTCTGCCTGCCTAGGTCTGAACCTCAGCTTTGCCAGGAACCAGTTGTGCCTCATCAAGCAAATTGCTTAACTTCTCTGTAACTCATCTGCAAAATGGTGATAACACCTCGTGGAATTGTTAATGAAGATTAAATGTGTTAGTGGAGTAGGAAAACACTCATAATAGGGCATGGTACGCAGTCAGTGATTTACAAATATGAAATAAATTGTGAAGAAAGTGACTTCCGTACACTTCCCTGAGCCCAAGTGTAGAGCCACGTGATGCCACACTGCAGCAAAACACAAGCCAGGGAATGGAGCTGTTGGCAGTGGAATTTACTGTTGGGATATTACAGATTGATTACTGTGTATTAAGTATATTGGATAGAGCTAAGAAGACAGATTGGAATCTAGAAGGCCCTGATGGAATTTTCCTCCAGAACACTGCTAGGAAGGAGCTCTACCATCACAAGACAAACTTCCTGCCTCCTCAACTGTGCTGGGTACATAGGGAGGTCTGAACAAAGTACTTTTGCCAGGAGATAACAGGATCCATCTTTTTTTTTTTTTTTTTTAAGATTTTATTTATTTATTTGACAGACAGGGATCACAAGTAGGCAGAGAGGCAGGCAGGGGTGTGGGGGGAGGGAAGCAGGCTCCCCACTGAGCAGAGAGCCCAATACAGGGCTCTATCTCAGGACCCCGGGATCATGACCCGAGCCGAAGGCAGAGGCTTAACCCACTGAGCCACCCAGGTGCCCCAAGGATCCATCTTTTATGTCTGTCAAAGGAGGAACTTGCCACACAGCCTCTCTCTACATCCCAGGACAGTTAAACACCCAGGGCCAGTGGGTAGAATATGACTGACATTGGGTGGAACCAAGAGGCTGGCTTCTGATTGGTAAGTTAGCCACAGTCCTGGGCAGGAGGCCAAGTCAGACTCGGGCTGGCATTGGTCCCACTCCTCAGATCCTTTTATCTTTGGCCTCTCACGTTTAAACCCAAAGTAATATCCATTGTCCACTCATACTTCATTTTTGTCTCCCATTCTGTCCAGGAAGACTTTTTCCTTCTCCTGTCAAGCCGGCTCTGGTGGAACGGAAAAGTCCAAAGCCTAGACACAGAGTAAATAGTTAATCTTGCCTTCCAGTGCACTTGCTCTTGGTTCATTGTTCAAACATCCATGTCCTCTGCATTGTCACATGGATGGGTCTCTAGAGGTCACGGATTCTGTTTGCTTGATTGGGCTTGAAGGTCTGTCACTCAGCACAATTACTTATTAAAAGACATTTGAAAACTAACCACGTTGAAAAGCAATTTTTCCACATAGTACCCTCATCTGTTAACACAGCATAATTTACAGGGTTGTGGAATCACTATGCTGTACCCTTGAAACTAATATAACATTGTGTGTCAAACTACACTCAAAAAAAAAAAAAATCCTCCACTCTGCAGTGTATAAATGCTTTATTTTACAGGTTCTCTTTAGCTTTTGGAAAAAGAACAAATATTTTAAGTATTGAAGTACTGGATACTTTTTATAACACTCAACAAGATAATAAAGACTGATTTTTGTCTAAAAAAGTCCTCACATATTGATAAGGTTGCATCCAGTTTTCTTTTTAATTTTCTTAAGCTCCTTTCAAATACAGATTGTAAAGAAAAAACCCTCAATTAAAAGATAATTGATACTGAGAAGCCTCACAGACCATCCTCCCCACACATGGTCTGAATTCCCTTAGGGAATGGGTAAGAGCCTGGGTTCTGGAGCCTACATTTCATCTCCAACACTTTGCTAGCTGGGCAAACATTGGGCAAGTTACAGAATCTCTCTGAAAACATAAACCTCATTTGCAAAATGGAGCTATCTCATAAGGCTCTTTTTTTTTTTCTTTTAAAGATTTTATTTATTTATTTGACAGACAGAGATCACAAGTAGGCAGAGAGGCAGGCAGAGAGACAGGAAGGGAAGCAAGCTCTCTGGTGAGCAGAGAGCCTGACTCGGGGCTCAATCCCAGGACCCTGAGATCATGACCTGAGCTGAAGGCAAAGGCTTTAACCCACTGAGCCCCCCAGGTACCCCCATAGGGCTCTTTTGATGATTAAATAAAATCCAGATAAAATACATTTATAACATTGTTTAACACATAGTTCAGGCTCACATATCACCGTTCACTGCATTTTTTAATTTGGAATTCATTTGCTGACATGTGTCATTTTTCCAAGGGCAAACTGATTAGCCTGCCCACTCAAACTCC